ATAGAGAGGACTTACTTACCCAGTGACTCTAGGACCAGATAGAGAGGGATTACTATACTTTGTTTAGGGTGTAATTGTTAAGTAAGTAACTATACATGTTATAATGTGATTATTTTGGGAATGCACACACATTGGTTACCATACTCAATAGAGTCAAAGTCCCCTCTAGTCCCCTGGCATAGTGGCCCATGCCTGTGATCCTAGCATTTAAGAGACTGATGCAGTAGGATGGGAAGTTCTAGGAGGGTCTGAACAACAGAGCAATAACCTGGAGAGAGAGAGGTGGGGGAACCCCTTTCTCTGCCTGTTTTCAAAGACAACCACTGAGCTGTTTTTCATTTACAGATTAGTCTGCACTTTCTAAGGTGTTACATAAACACAGTTCTATAGTATTCACTCTTTTGTATGGCTTTTTTTGCTTAACACACTGATTTTGAGATTCACTGATGTGGTGCATGTCTTGATAGCTCAGTTCTTTAATTGCCAAGCTTCCTTTGGCTACTCAGCTGCATCCTGTCTGCTAACTCACTCAGCGCTTGCTGTGGGGAGCTAGTAAAGGCTTTTGTTTCTATGAATGAGGAGAGCAAACAGTTCTTCAAGAATGTATATTTTAGGGGATGATATAAGATGCATTGAAAATCTGGGAAGCCAGAGCCAGGGAACCAGGGGAGAGATTCTCAGCATTCCAAATCTCAGACTAATTCTTAAATACTTAAAATGATACCATGTAACATATTGGTATTATGTGAAAATCCTTCAGTCTGTTAAGGAGAGTAAACCTGAAATTGTGCAGTTCATCAATTTGGGTTCAGAGATGGCTAAGTAGGTGAGCGTATTGCTGTGAAGCCTGAACGATGCCCGGGCTCACTGGGCCCCACAGGGCAGAAGGAGAAAAATAAATCCGATGAGTTTTCCTGTGGCTTCCACTCAAGTGCTGTGACATGAGCAACCCCTCCTCACACAGTAACACATAGCACTAGGCTCTGGCTGACTTAAGCCAAAGGGAATAGTCTAGAGGATTCCCAAGCAGCAGCACTTCCCCACCAGCTTAATTTAGGTAGGGACACACACACATACACACACGGTTGGGAGAAAGGAGCCGTGGGTTAAAACTACAACAGTAGCACACAGACAAATTGGCCATTTCCCAAACGGAATCTGGGATAGTCTTAGCAAGAATTCCCATTGGGGCTGGGAAGAGAGCTTGGACAATAAAAGACTTGTCTTGCAGCCATGAGGGCCTGAGTTTGACCCCCAGAACTCAAATAAATAAATAAATAAATAAATAAATAAATAAATAAATCAAATGAGCAGATCGTGGCAGGCACACTTGAAATCTCTGCTGAGAGGGTAGAGACAGGCTGTTCCTTGATCCCTGGGGTTCATTGGCCAGCCTAGCCAGCTTGGTAAGTTCCAGGCCAGTGAGAGAGATTGTCTTGAAAACAAGGTAGGAGGGTTGTTTTTTTTTTTAGTTTTGGTTATTTCCGTCTTCCTATCATATTTTGAGGTAGAGCCTTTTTTTTTTAAATTTATTTATATGTATACAGTATTCTGCCTGGATGTATCCCTGTGGGTCAGAAGAGGGTATCGGACCACATTATAGATGGTTGTGAGCCACTATGTGGTTGCTGGAAATTTAACTCAGGACCTCTGGAAGAACAGTCAGTGCTCTTAACCACTGAGCCATCACTCCAGCCCTAGGTAGAGACTTCCATAAGCAATTCCAGTTAAACTCAGTGAGTCACACACAGAAAGGAGACATAGAGTAGGAAAGAAACTTGCTGGCAAGAAGGTACACAGTGGGGGAAGGAGAGGGGAATTGGGTCTGCATATGGCTAAAATCCGTGTGTATATATGTGTGTGTTCGTGCACATGTATATGTGAATGCATATGTGCACTTGGGTATGAAATTGTCAAAGAAGAAGAACAACACATGTATACATGGGAAACATGGTGGGCAGTAGCTAAGGAACAACACCGTGGGTTGATGTATGTATGGGGCTTTGTGCCTCTGCCTCCCAAGTGCTGGGATTACAAGTATGTGCCACCCACCACCACCACCATTATTTTGCTATTCTTGCTTTACTCTCAGTGTGACATAAATAGTTTGTGTTTCCCTCTTGATTTGGGGAGAAAAATTAGCTTCCCCACAATACTCCTGATATGCAGGAAAATCTGGACAGGGAGGATGTCATGCTAGGAAAGAACATTGCTGATTCAGGTTGGACACGCGTGAGACAAAGGTGTGGGTGCCTGTCCTATTAGCCAGGCTCTGTAGAAAAACAGAACTGATAGGGTGGATGAATGTTTTAAAATATATATATTGTCCTTTGAGGCTGGGTGCTTCAGCAGTCACAACAGTCAGTCCCACGGGGGTTGTCTCACACAGGAGAGAGCCCAGTCATTGCTGATCAGATGACCAGGCCAAGTATATCAGCAGTCCCTGTCTGATGCTTAGAACCTAGAAGGTTTCCGGAAAGCTCCTTTGTCCAGGATAGAAACCTGGAAACACTGGTTGTAGTATCAAAGGCAGCAGCAGCAGCGACAATAAAGCACCAAAACAGAGAGAGTCCTTTGGCGGTCCCCTCTTTAGCTAGTGCTGCCTCTAATTCTTTAAGTGAAGGAGGCTCCCTACTCAGGAGATTCTGAAACATATCAAGTTAACATTAAAGTTAAGTATTACGGGCTAGAGAGATGGCTCAGTGGTTAAGAGCACTGACTGCTTTTCCAGAGGGTCTGAGTTCAATTCCCAGCAACCACACGGTAGCTCACAACTATCTGTAATGGGATCTGACGCCCTCTTCTGGTGTGTCTGGAGACAGCTACAGTATACTCATATAAATAAAATAAATAAATCTTTAAAAAAAATAAGCATTACACCTGTGTTAACCACTCAAAGCAAAGCTGGTCCAAGTCAGTTATAGTTAATTTGCTGTTATCGGTATGTGTAAAGGTCAGGGGACAACTTTCAGGAGTGAGTCCTCTCTGTCTACCATGGGCTCTGGATTGTTGGGCTTCTGTTGCAAGTACTTTTAATCAGTGAGCCATCTCACCAGCCTAACATGGGACTTATAACATAAACAGACATCTGAGGAGATCTTGTACATATATATATATATTTAGAGAGAGAAAGAGAGGTGAAATTTAGAGTCTAAGTTAGACTGCTCTTTTGGAGGAAGTTCAAGGACTCTCACTTCCCCTGATGCATTGCTGATGAAGTCTTGTTCATAGTGGCACCTGATATATGAACGTGGCTTCTCTATGTGTTCTAGGGAGGAGTTAACAAAATGTACCACGGCATCCAAGAGTATGACCCCAACAGCCCCCGGGTCCACATGGTGATGGAAAAGGGTGATACTGTTTTCTTCCATCCTCTGCTCATCCATGGATCTGGTCGAAACAGAACTCAAGGATTCCGGAAGGTACGGATTCAGATGGCTACATCTCCAAAGATGAGTGGTCTAGAACAAATCTCTCAAGATACATTAAGATAGCTGGGCAGTGATGGCGCACACCTTTAATCCCAGCACTTGGGAGGCAGAAACAGGCAAATTTCTGAGTTCAAGGCCAGCCTGGTCTACAGAGTGAGTTCCAGGACAGCCAGGACTACACAGAGAAAGCCTGTCTCGAAAAAATTAAAAAAAAAGAATTCTCAACAAAAGTGTTCTTTTCTACACACAGCTGCTTCTGAGGCAAAAACAATGGCTGAATTTCCAAAGTAGTATCATTTGGAATTCATAGTAATGTTCATTCTAAAGCACAGCAGGAGGGAAGTTTATAATATCTTTACTACCGAGAAATATAGCATTGATCTAAACAATACTGAGTTCTAAACTTTACACAGAAAGCGGGTTCAGCAGGCACTCCTATTCCTTAGCTTAAGAAGTCTATACAACTTCATACGTTGTTGCCTACATTAAAAATTTCCCACAAACACCCCAGCTTCTCATGTCCTCCAGTCCAGTAGCTTTGCCTGTCTGTGAGTCCTCTCTTCCCTGTGGGAATACAGTGGTCTATACCAAACATCAGGACTCCTTTGGGTCTAAGTGGGATTTTATGGCTTGTCACATATTTCCATCCTGCCCTGCTGCTCTTTGACGGCAAAGAGAAGGTGCCAGACTTAACCTTCCATTCACATACATTCCCACTAACTTCTGTGGAGCTTGGAACTAGGCAAAGGAGGTAGAGGCGCTGACTTGGGACAAAACTTAAGGGGCTGTCAACAATCCAGCTATCAAGCTAAATAATATTCTAATGCATCAAAATCAAACAGCCATGCTGCTTACTATGCAAATTTTTAAAATGAAAGGCTGGTATGGCCCTCAGAGTTGTACAAGTGTGGGGTGTAGCCATTGCAATACAGATAATATATGTTTGAAATAGTGAATTTACCCTTTCTATTTTTTCGAGTGTCTGGAATGTTCTAGAGAAATATTCACCATTGCTTCATAACAGAATGCATATGGGCGAGCTCACTTTTCCCTTTTTTCTTGATCTCTGTTATGATTTTATCTAGAGACGCAGCTGTACAAATTTGTATTTGATCAAAGTAGAAGGACCTTCTGATAGATTTGATCACCTTTAGAAAATGAACTGTGACCTTTTAAAAGGAATTTTAATGACTGCTTTGCAAGCTTGGATATATTTATACATTTTTCTAATGGTGGGATACAATCCATTGAAGAACTTTAGGATATGTGAAAATTTAAATGCCTAAAAATATTGAGGGTCTCTTAAAGGACTAGACTTCCTAAATATGCCTTTTAAAAAGAAGCATCACAGCTAATTTTTTTAAAAAAATGTTTTTTTCTCTTTCTTTCTTTCCTGTTTTCTTTTGTTTGTTTGTTTGCTTGTTTTTTCACGACAGGGTTTCTCTATGTAACGAGCCCTAGCTGTCCTAGAAGCAGAGGCAGGTAGATCTCTGTAAGTTTGAGGCCAGCCTGGTCTACAGATTGAGTTCCAAGACAGCCAGGGCAACACAGAGAAACAGTTCTGAAAAACAAAGAGCCGGGTGGTGGTGGTGCACGCCTTTAATCCCAGCACTTGGGAGGCAGAGGCAGGCAGATTTCTGAGTTTGAGGCCAGCCTGGTCTACAGAGTGAGTTCCAGGACAGCCCGAGCTACACAGAGAAACCCTGTCTCGAAAAACAAAACAAAACAAAAAAGGAAAGAAAAAGAAAAACAAAGAATAAAATAATCGTTTGTGGGCCAGTAAGATGGTTAAACAAATAAATGCACTTGCTCCCAAGACTCACTACCAGAGTTCTAGCCTGAGACTTACAGGGTAGAAAGAGAAAGCTAACCTACGTGTCCTCTGACTTCCGCACAGATATGTGTGCCCTTGCGACACACACACACAAACATTTTTAAAGAAAATTTAAATCTTTTATAATTTCTCTATTAGCCTTGGGAGGAGGGTTTCAGCCATGTACGAGGAGATTGATTTAAGACACTATAGACCACCTTTCTAGTTGAGAAATCAAATCCCAAGTGAAATAGTCCCTTTCACGGAAGACTCTGGACTCTGCTTGGTTTTGCGGCGTAATGGGATTGATAAAATGCTCTTCAACAGTTTCAGTCTGTTCTTTCTGCACAGGCAATTTCCTGCCACTTTGGCAGCTCTGACTGCCAGTATATCGACGTGGCGGGCACCAGTCAAGAAAACATCGCAAGGGAAGTTGTTGAGATTGCAGAGAAACGTTATGGAATCCGAGGAACCTTGGACTTTACGGTACCGCCTGCCATCACAGAGGAAACGCTAGGGGTCCCTTCCCTAGGGTTAATCTGAAAGCATGCAGGCTTCTGTTTGGTGCTCACTTCAGAGCTGTGGCTGAGCCCACTAAGAACAGCAACGTAGGCCTTTAGCTATGGATAGTCAACGTTGTTGCCGCTCAGTCAATCAATCCTCATGGGCAGGCACATTTGATTTGGAAATCTGGTTTTATTTTCTTTGTTATCACAAAGGTCGGCTTGGGACTCAAGGGCAGGGAGTCAGTGATGACTCTGGGCCATCAGTACAACGGGGCGCACAGATGCCACGCCCCCTGTGTCGCCAATCATCTACACTATCTTGACTGGAGTCCCAGAATGTAATCTATTAATCAATATAAACTATTAACATTTTTTACTTAATTATTTATAAAGGCTTTTGAACCCTTTTTCTCATGGAGGGTAGGCCAGTGGAAGTATTCCGCAAACTCTGCTTGATCTTATTTCAGGACACTTGGAAGTTTCGATGCCGACTTGTGAAAGGAGAAAGAATAAACCTTTGAAACAGCCCTTCGAGGCCAGCCTGTTCTACAGAGTGAGTTCTGGGACAGCCAGGGCTACACAGAGAAACCCTGTCTCAAAAAACAAAAACAAAACAAACAAACAAAAGAGTGAAGTACTGCGATGAGAGTTTGGTACAGCCTGGGCTACACAGCAAGAAGCTATCTTCTCCTCTTTCCTCCATAAACAGAATGAAAAGAATGAGCTCTTCATTATAATTCTTTTAAAGAGAACATTAAAGCAAAGCAAAATATCTAAGAAAAATGTTTTTATTCTATTATTGAGTTGATATTCTTTTTTATCACCTGTTAACAACATCAAGATGCATGGGGATGTATGAATTTAATTAGTGTGGTACTATTGCTTTAATAGAGTGAAATATTACTGTTTTAAGGAAAGCTAACCTGGGGTATAACTAATAAAGGTGACGAGTGTAATGTAAGTGATGTGTTTGTAAAAAGACAAAGAAAGGAGGGTGTATGTTCTGTGGAGGTGTGGTGAGGTGTGGGGGAAGGGGGCGCCTTGGCAGGCCCATGCTGAGGCATCCCTTTCCCCTGAAGGACCAGCCACAGGATGATGGTATAGGAAAGAGGGGGGGAGGAAGGGAGAGAGAGAGAGAGAGAGACAGGGAGAGAGAGAGAGAGAGGAAGGGAGAGAGAGAGAGAGAGGAAGGGAGAGAGCAAGAGAGAAAGAGAGAGAGAGGGAGGGAGAGAGAGAGGGAGAGAGAGAGAAGGAGGGAGAGAGCAAGAGAGAGAGAGAGAGAGAGGGAGGGAGAGAGTGAGAAAGAGAGAAGAAGAAGAGGAGGAGGAGGAAGAGGAGGAAGAAGAAGAGGAGGAGGAGGAGGAGGAAGAAGAGGAAGAGGAAGAAGAGTAGTAGAGGCTGGCCATGAGCACATGGTGGGGGGAGGGAATGGCAAGAGAACAGGAGCAGGAAGGCAGGCAAGAGCAAGAGAGAGAGGAGGGGCAAGTAGCCCCTTTTATAGTGAGTCAGGCATACAGGCATACTTGGCTGTTGCCAGGTAACTGTGGGGCGGAGCTTAGACAAAATGCTAACAGTAAACATATCCAGTCAATTTCTTTCTATGCAAGCAGAAATGATTTCTTGAAAGTTGAGTCTACCTCAAGTAGTACATCCCTCCACTCATGAACCTGCCTCCTACCAGTTTTCTATCATAGAGGTTTTTGTTGTAAATTAGAGCATATAGTGGATATTCACAGCTACTGGTAAACAGGAGAGAGCCATTGGGGTGAATAAAGGTTGAACCTCATTTTCTCACACACGATTCCTTGCAAGATGTCAACCCAACACCTTCATAAACACGGGCTAGTCATCGCCAGTTCTTTCCTTTGGTGCTGAGGAATAAAACAAGGGTGCCTAGTCTACATTTCCTGTTGTGCAGGGCAGCTGAAAACCTACCTGTGTGAGCGAAACCTCCCTCTTTCAAATGCCTTAGGGATCCTTGTTTCTGTTTGCATCAGAGTGTAGACTCCTATGTTTTCCAGGTGGGGGCAGCAGCAAGACATGCTCCTTGATTTTCAAATTTTTAGTTAGGGTAAAGAGAAAAAAATAACAGGCTTTTTTCCTTGATATTCTGCTAAGTACCAGTTTTCCTGAATTTAGTGTTTTGTGCTTTTCAGTTTGTTTGTCAAGACATCCATGCTTGCCCAACCCACACACTTTGTTGAGGTGCACTGTAAGAAGGTAGTCTTTGTATTATTTAATTGTTGATTGCTGTACCTGCTGAGAGCCAGGACTGGCTGGGTTTTGACTCTGTCGTTCTTAATGGCTCATCACCTGCCTCAGGATTGTGTAGATGAACCTTCCTTGCTCACAGACTGGTTTTATAAAGATCACTCACTGCTTGGTTTAATAAAGATCTGGATTGTAGGCAGGAAAGGGAAGGCAGGGCTTCCAGGCCATGTTGGGGTCTCTATGAGAAGAACGGGACATTGTTGGATTCACCAGGGGACCACAGAGATCATCGGACTTGCCACCAGGATGGGTAGAGGAGTGGGGTCGGAAAGGTAAAGAAGTAGCCTTGTGGCTGATGGTGTGCTAGGTAAGGAGGTTAAGTTAATGAGCTAGGTAGAAGGTAGCCCAAGCCGAGGCCTGAGCTACAATAAATATGAATAAGTCTCTCTGTCATTATTTGATTGCTAATGAGTCCAGAAAGTCCTATAACACTATAACACGTGCTTTATGAGCTCCTCCTACTGCCCCAGGCTCCTTTCTGGCCAATAGTATTTGTTAGCATTCTGTCTAAACTCCACCCGCACAATTATGTGGCAACAGCCAGGTATGCTCCTCCCCACAGTGACATGGCAATAGCCAGGTAGGCTTGGCCCACTGTAAAAGGGGCTGCTTGCCTCCTCATCTCTCTCTCTCTCTTGCTCTTTTGCTTTCTTGCTCCAGCTCTGTCCCCTCGACCCTTCTCTCTTCCCTTCCCCCATCTCCACGTGCTAATGGCTGACCTCTACTTCTCTTCTTCTCCTCCTCCTCTTTTTTTTTTTTTTTTTTTTTTTTTGGTTTTTCCAGACAGGGTTTCTCTGTGTAGCCCTGGCTGTCCTGTAACTCACTCTGTAGACCAGGCTGGCCTTGAACTCAGAAATCCGCCTGCCTCTGCCTCCCAAGTGCTGGGATTAAAAGCGTGGGCCATCACTTTCCGGTCCTCGTCCTCTTCCTCGTCCTCTTCTTCCTCCTTCTCCTTCCTCTCTCTCTCTCTCTCTCTCTCTCTCTCCTCTTCCTCTACTACCCTCTTAACTCCCCATACCCTGAATAAACTCTATTTTATACTATACCGGTATGTGTGGCTAACACCTCAGGTGGAAGAGATGCCTCGACATGGGCCCATTGAGACATCCCCTTCCCCCATACCTCACCACACACCTCCACAGAACATACTCTCTTTCTCTTTATCTTTTTATAAACACACCAGTATTAGAAACAAGAGTCTGGTGCTAGGTGCAGGATCTGGGTGTTGGGTGTAGGATCTGGGTGCTAGGTGTAGGATCTGGGTGTTGGATGTAGGATCTGAGTGCTAGGTGCAGGATCTGGCTGTTGGGTGCAGGATCTGGGTGTCAGGTGTACTCATAGTACCCCATGGTCACACTCTACAGTGACAGTTGTGTACCTCAATGTTGGAAATCCCCTGCTGCAGCATCAGTGGACAGTACCAGGCACCTGGTCTCAGACTGCCTGATCTAAAAGTTTCTCTCTGTTCTCAGAGATCCCAGAGTACATTTGGTTCCTGAAATTGTCAGACGGTTATTCATTCTCTTTGAGGTTGGTCTTTTTCCTCGAACATGTATTGCGATGGGAAGATGAGGGAACAGAACCTTCATATGTATCTGATTTCAACTGAACCACATAAACGCATGACCTATTTGGAAACTAGAATACATTGTAAACAGAAGCAATAAACAGGCAGAAAAGACAGTGACCGAGCCTCAGAAATGCAAGCAAAACTTACAGCGCAGTGGGTCTTTCTGCCTTAGTCAGGCATCTGTAGCTATCAAGAACCATAGCCAGCTTTGCTCTCAGCTTTGCAGCCCAGGCGCCCTGTGCTTCAGCTCTGCCATTGGAGCAGGTAGAGGGCCAGAGACAACATAACTCAAGGAGTGTGGTTGGGAACCAAAACCACTATTTGCCAAAACAGCCAGCAGGCCAGATTTGACCTCGGCTGTAGTTTGTCCATTCAGTTCTAATCAAAGTACAAATTCAGTAAACAAATAAGTGTTCTGTGTCCTGGCAAGATGCATTCCAGCACCAATGATACTTCTAGGGGTCTCACAGATACTTCTTCAGAGGCTGTAGGAAGGCAAGGCTGTTGTCATCTTCCCTAGCCCTGAGAACAGTCTGCTCCCCTATGTGTAGCATGCTGAGGCTTCCTTCTCCTATCTCCCCCAATGTGGCCAATTTTAATCTAGGTTACCTTTGGCATAGCATTTAAAATTCACACCCTACAGGGGAGCAGCCAGAGGGAAGACAAGGGAGGATAAGGAAGGTGTATGGATATGATCAAAGTGTATTATATCCATGCCCCAAATGCATGTCCATGCCTGCTATTTTGTACAAGTAATACGTACCAATAAAAATGGTTCATCCCTGGGGTCTCTGAAGTGTCACTTGTAACACATAAAGGACCTGCTCTGAGGTGTGCTGGAAGATGACCAGATACTCTTCAATTCCAACTGGATCCTTTAGTCTGAACAATAGACCTTGACAATGAGAAAAATTTGAGGGCAGGACGTCAGGAACACCAGGATGTCATACCAGAGGCAAAGCAGGGACAGCATGGGTTGGCAGCTGTGGGAATGGCTATGATGGCCACTTCCTATCCCATACGTGGGTTCCCAGCTTTGGAGTCAAAGTCCTAGGAGTCGGTTCTACTGGATGGGTGTGAGCCACAGATATCTGCAGAGTTTGGGAGTGGGTGTCAGAAGGTCCTTTAAAAAAATTTTTTAAAGACAGGTTCTTATATATCCTAGGCTGGCCTCCAACTTGTTATGATCTTGAAGTAATTATCCTCTCATCTCCCTCCCTAGTGCTGGGATTACAGCTGGATACCAAGCCTGGTTCATGTGTGGAGAGCCGCGGTGGGCAGAGATGGCGCTGGCATCTGGTGCTCTCCCAAGTTTATAGATTTACTGCCTTTGTGCTAGTGGAAAATGCGCGCCAAGTCACGGCCCATCCCAGGGCGTATATGCGCTTCTGGGCAAGCACCCAACCAGAAATAGACACGCCGCTCCAGGGTGTATTTAAACGGTGCCTTTTCGGGGCCCAGGGTCTTTCCTCTACACATCGTAATAAAGAATTGCTGCAGAAGGACACCGTGTCTGAGTGCATTCTTGCTGGCGAGATTATTGCGCGGGACATTTATGCAGTGCTGGGAATGAAACCCAGGCCTTCCTGAATACTAGATAAACTACCAAAGGGGTTCCAGCTCCAGCCCATGTTCTTCCATTTTTGTGTGATTCAAGATGCCATTGTCTTTCTCAAGACCCTATACCATAGTAGAACAAAGATTGACCCAGAGCAAGGTCACTTTGAAAAGAGGAAGAGGACCACCAAACATGGCATTCATTGTCCATCACAATACTCATGGTACCCCCAGTCCCACAGCTGAGCTTCACAGCTGGTCTGCATGGAACCCCATTCTGAGCATAATGAAGGGAAGCTCACTGGTCTCTCTGAGGGCAGTGGCTCCTCCCTGAGCACATGCCACTCTCCCAGCTCCCTCCCAGACAATCTGTCTTAGCTTCCTAGTCACACTCTGGACTC